TGTGTCTCTGTGCTCTTCGCTTTCATCTGTGCAAAACAATATTTCTCTGGGGACAAAGCACGAAAAGTCCGCTTTCTGTGTGTGTTTGAGTTACCGCATGCAGGGAAAGCTACCTAGCAGGCTATTCTCCTGAAAAATAAACAGATATAAAATTTAAAGCAAATCAAGAACACACAGCTTCACCTCAACACAAAGAGTAATGGTAACCCAGCAATATTTCATACTTCCCCACCCAGCCAATGCTTTCTATGCAAGCAGATACTAATAAACAAGACCCAAAGACATGCAGCTGATGCAGTGGTGTCCAAACTTTTTTCAAAGAGGGCCAGATTTGATGAAGTGAAGGGCTATGAGGGCCGACCAAAGTTGTTGACCTTTGACCTTTTTTAAGGATTGAAGTTGTTGAGCTTTTTTATGATTTTACCCCAAAGTTGTTGAGTTTTAAGACTGAAGTTGTTGAGCTTTTATTAGGATTGAAGTTGTGGAGGTTTCTTTAGGATTTTACCTCAGGAAGTAAACTGCCACAGGGACTGGATTAAACCGACTGGCGGGCCATATTACGCCACCGAAATGGACTTTGGACATGCCTGTTTTAACCCCTTCTTCCCACCCTTCCTCTACCTTAAAGCATCTCTCCTTCCCCCCCCCAACCCCCCACTTTACTGGGACCCAGTTTAGGCCAAGACAAGCTGGCCATGGCCACATCTCATCTGACCCTTAGTAACTATAGGAACTGATGTAAGCAACTTCTTGCTATAACCTATTGAGTTCAATAGAACTTAGTCTAAGGTAAATGTGTATAGGATTGCAGCTGAGCAAGATGGTAAATTTTATTCCCCTCCTCCGCCCCCGCAACAGGAAACTTGGAACTGCCTTAGGATGAAGAACTAGATTCCGTTTGTGCATAGATGAGTTACACTTCATTTTCTTGCCCAAAACCAAATATGAAAACGATAGAATTCTGAAAGGTGTCTCAGTTTTGCAGGTGGCCCTGAAGCACGGAGAAAAGCAAATCCTTTTCTATCCAGCCTTTTGTGCATGAACTAAAAAGGCAGCAGCTTTAGTTCATTGGACTATGGACCTGGGTGTGCCATATTCAAACAACAAACACAAGAAAGCAATTTGACTTGTGCACATTTATCTGGCTTTAATCTCTAAAGAGCCGTTTGCTGTGGGCTGCCCGGGCTGTTAAATCGATCCATATTCATCTACCTTAAGCTCTGCGGCGTCACTCACTGTACCACGGAAAAAGCGCTCTTGAAATGGTCCGTGTTTGTCTGCCTTTGATCTCTAGGCTGTTATTTCCTGTGGGCTGCTTCTGTACGCGAGGCTTGTTCAAAAGAGAAATAGCGTCCACGTTTGGAGGTCTGCTGGGTGGAATATACTCATGAGCTCAGCACAAGAGTCACTTTTGCCGTTCGTGCACAAGCTAAAAAGCTACCATGATCACGTAGCTCAGTTGCGTGTCGAGACCCCGCAGCCACCCCCTCGTTGGAAATGACTCGCACAAGGACACGGATATTAGGTTTATGTTATTGGGCAAATTTTGGGCCACAACTTTATTGAAATTACAGAATGTGAGTGGTATTGGCTTAGGCATTGATTGGACCTGACTATATCTGACTCCTGCCCATTATGCAGGAAGTCCAGTAAGGGTAAGCCATCGGTAGGGGGAGCCCTGTCGATGCGAACCAACTCAAGCTCCCCCTGGTGTTTCCATTGGGGTCATGTCAAGGCCCAAGCCCCCAGCTGGGTTTCAGACTAGATCTACACCCCCGGATTCCTTTAACGGAATACCCTTAAGCATGGAGAGGCAGGTGATGGCAACACCTCCCTTCTCCCCCCACAAGAAGCGAGCCAAAGAGGAAGTCCTCTGGCTCGCTCCTCCATTTAAACAGCTCCGGCCATGTCCCCCCCGGCCAGCGGATTGGCTGGCTGGGCTCTGACATGGCCGGGATTCCCCAGGCAATGGGGGACAAGGTCCCCCACCCCCAGTGGGGAATGGGTGGCCACGCGGTCCACCGCAACTCCTCCCCACTGGGAAGTGGACGGGTTAGCAGAGCACAAAGACCTCAGAATGGATGCCTCACGTCCAGTCTTCAGTCTTCCCAGTTTAAGGATCTCAGATCTCAGATAATAGAGCTGAGTCAAAGAAGATAGCCAGAGAAGTCAGTCTGCAGGCAGATGAACTGATGGGCTTCGAAGGATAAAGAGACTGACATCGTTCAATGTTTCTGACAGCAGACAGTGCCAGATTTACATATAAGCTAAACAAGCTCTAGCTCAGGGTCCCACTCTCTTGGGGGCCCCAAAAAAAATTAAAGGGAAAAAAACCTGGATGTACATTTCCAAAATATAAGATAAAAAACAAATAAAACAAAACCTACATACAGCAAAAGTGTTTTGTGTTGTGTAGGTTCCTATGATGGAAGTCATGGGCCCCGCCTGCTCCCTAAAATATCCCTGGTTTGCTCCTTTCTATATATAGGGTGCCTACATTCTGCATGGAATGGTTGCATGGCAACATGGGCAAATGGCTTGAGATACCTATGAGGTCCATCAATTACCACATAGCATATATTCAACACCAAAAAACAGCGACAACCTGGTGTTGACAAAGGACAGCTGGACATATAAGGGGCCCCATTACCTTCAGGAGCTGAGGGCCTCATCAAACCTAAATCCGGCCCTGGTCCCACCACCAGGATCTGGGATCTAGGTCGTCTTCTTCTGTTCCCTCCTAGGTTAGGATGTAATGCCTCCAAAGTTGCAACCATGCGGGTCTCTTTGGCCAGAAAGGAAGTGAAGGAAGAGGTCCACAACAGAGTCCCACCAGGGAAGCGATGAGCATCCATTAGCTCAGGCATGTCCAAAATCCGTTTCGTCCGGCCCCTGTGGCAGTTTATTTTCTGGGGTAAAATCCTAAAGAAACCTCCACAACTTCAATCCTAATAAAAGCTCAACAACTATAGCTTGTTTAGCTTATACGTAAATCCGGCACTGGATCCTTCTCTACAGATGTTGCATTGTAATGGCTCAGGCAATAAGAGGAGGAGGATTCTTTGCCATTAATGGATGGCCTATCTCAGTGACCAGATGGAGGCATCACAGAGAGAGACATTAATGGGGTGATGACAGTCACTCGCACCTGATACCCCCCACTGAGCTCCACCAAAAGAGATTCAGCAGGTGCCTTTTGTGTCAACTTTTAAACCTTGATGGAACCATTTCTGTGGACTATGCAGGCGATTAAGAATACATTTTCCCACAACGGTCAGCTGATGGTTTTTGTTATATATTTTATGTAATATTGCTGTAAACTGCTTTGGTATTTTTCATTTTATGATATGGAGGCATATAAACTTTTTTTTTTTTAATAAATAAAGCAAGCATCCAAAATTGGCTTGCAAAAGAAAGCGCATGCCATTGCCTTGTGCCGGATACAAATTTATTGTGGTATTTTGATGGTATTATGTTTATTTCAAATTCACCCAGCAAACCATGTTGATATAAGAAATAACAACAGTGGTACCTTGGTTTAAGAACAGCTTAGTTTATGAACAACTTGGATTAAGAACTCTGCAAACCCGGAAGAAGGTGTTTTGGTTTGTGAACTTTGCCTTGGAATAAGAACATGTTTCACTTCTTGTTGAGTGTGTTCCATTTGTGAATTGAGCCCCCGCTGCTATGGGAAAGCACGCCTTGGTTTAAGAATGCTTTGGTTTAAGAACGGGCTTCCAGAACGGATCAAGTTTGTAAACCAAGGTACCACTGTATATACCTATTAAATATATATATTTCCCTGTAATGTGGTATAATTATCATATGGGCCAAGATTTGAACAAGCATCAGGACTGCGCAGCTATCTCCTGCATCAGCTGTGGAATCAGACTATGTTTTGTTTCCAGCCACGAGGTGGAGCTATAAAACCCTGAAATAAACCATATAAATGTAGCAAAGGTCCCCTTGCCTTTTTTCTTTCTTTTCTTGGCAAAGGGTGGTAGTTTTTTTGTTACACAAGGTCACGGGATTTGTTGTAATGGCGGGCGGTTGTGTGGAAATAGTTGTGTACTCCTGCCATAGCTGTCAACTTACAGATTTGAAAATAAGGGACCAGCAGCCAAAATAAGAGATTTTGCTATTGTAAAGAGTTACATACATTGGTTGTCTGTCAATCCAGCATGAGGTAGTTGCGGCGCGGCGGCGGCCACTGAAGCACCGCCCTTCTGCGTCCCTCCCCATCCCCTCCTCTTCCTCCTCCCTCAGCTGCCACCACCGCTGCCGCCTCCAGGCTTGCGGGCGGCGTGGGCGAGAGTCTCTCTCCCTCCCCCCCTCTCTCTCGGGTGGGGAAGGGCCAATGGAACTCCTCGCGCCAGGACGGCAGCGCCAGCGCGCGCTCTCTCTCGTGGCGGAGGACCCCAAGCCGCTGCTTCTCTCCCGAGCCGGGCGAGCATGAAACCTGGGAAATTTAAGGGACATCATCAATAAGGGACAGCAGCGAGACACGGCGCTGGGATAAGGGAGTTTCCCGCTAAATAAGGGACAGTTGACCGCTATGACTACTGCCTGCCTCCCCCCCTACCCAGTGTTCTCCCTTAAAAACATGTTTAGGGGGTTTTCCCATTTTCCTACTCATATTGAAATACTGCCCCTCAATGAGGCCAAACTTAGATTCACAAAATGTTTAGGGGTATGCTTACCCCCGCGTATACCCCACCCCCTCAAAAAGCTCTGCCCCTACCCATTCTACACAATTCTTCTGTTAAATAATCCTTACATGGTTTGAGTCAGAGTTAAATTTTATACAGCAGTTGGCTAAGCTTAGACTCTGGACTTCATGGTCTCACGGGGCTCCCCTCTTTAGACAGCAATGTGTTTTGCTTCATAACTTGAAAATGTGGTGAGCCAAACCTGCTGCATTTCACAGAATCCTAGAATTGTAGGTTTGGAACCCCCAGGGGTCATCCATCCCAACCCCCTGCAATGCAGGACTATGAAGCTGTTCCAAACAGGAATCAAACCTGCAACCTTGGCGTTATCAGCACCAACCTCTAAGCAACTGATGTTGATGGTGATATTTATGCCCCGCCCATCTGGCTGGGTTTGCCCACCCACTCTGGGCGACTCCCAATAGAATATTAAAAACACAATAAAACATCAAACATTAAAAACTTCCCTGTACAGGGCTGCCTCCAGATGTCTTCTAAAAGTCAGATAGTTGTTTATTTCCTTGACATCTGATGGGGGAGTGTTCCACAGGGCAGGTGCCACCACCGAGAAGGCCCTCTGCCTGGTTCTCTGTAATCTCACTTCTTGCAGTGAGGGAACTGCAGGAAAGCCCTTAGCACTGGACCTCAGTGTCCAGGCAGAACGATGGGGGCGGAGACGCTCCTTCAGGTCAACTGGGCCGAGGCCGTTTAGGGCTTTAAAGATCAGCACCAACACTTTTAATTGTGTTTGGAAGTGTACTGGGAGCCAATGAAGATCTTTCAGGACTGGTGTTATATGGTCTCGGCTGCCACCCCCAGTCGCCAGTCTGGCTGTCACATTCTGGATTAGTTGTAGTTTCCGGGTCACCTTCAAAGGTAGCCCCACGTAGAGTGCATTGCAGAAGTCCAAGCAGGAGATAACCAGAGCATGCACCACTCTGGCGAGACAGTCCGCGGGAAGGAAGGGTTTCATCCTGCGTACCAGATGGAGCTGGTAGAGGCGCAAGTCAATTCTGTGTCCAGGGCAGCTGTCTACCAACTCCATCTGGTACGCAGGATGAGACCCTTCCTTCCCGTGGACTGTCTCGCCAGAGTGGTGCATGCTCTGGTTATCTCCTGCTTGGACAACTCAATGCGCTCTACGTGGGGCTACCTTTGAAGGTGACCCGGAAACTACAACTAATCCAGAATGCGGCAGCTAGACTGGTGATTGGGAGCGGCCGCCGGGACCACCAGTCTTGAAAGACCTACATTGGCTCCCAGTATGCTTCCGAGCACAATTCAAAGTGTTGGTGCTGACCTTGAAAGCCCTAAACGGCCTCAGCCCAGTATACCTGAAGGAGCGTCTCCACCCACATCATTCTGCCTCAGTATACCTGAAGGAGCGTCTCCACCCACATCATTCTGCCTGGACACTGAGGTCCAGCGCTGAGGGCCTTCTGGCAGTTCCCTCACCGTGAGAAATGAAGTCACAGGGAACCAGGCAGAGGGCCTTCTCGGTGGTGGCACCTGCCCTGTGGAACGCCCTCCCATCAGATGTCAAGGCAATAAACAACTATGTTACTTTTAAAAAACAACTGAAGGCAGCCCTGTTTAGGGAAGTTTTAAATGTCTGACGCTGTATTGTTTTTAATATTCAGATGGAAGCCACCCAGAGTGGCTGGGGAAAGCCAGATGGGTGGGGTATAAATAAATAAATAATAATAATAATAATAATAATAATAATAATATCTAATGGAGCCCAGGGATGGAAGCTTTCCTGCTGTATTGAGGCAGCACCGGGTATTGAAATTTTGCACCCCTTAAGAATTTTGCGCCTGGGGCAACCGCCCCTGTGGGCCACCCCCATGCTATGATGCTGGAGAGTCTGCTACCACACTTCATAGGCTGTTCCTTTATCCTGGTTGCCCTTTGCCATCGCCATCCCTGGAGAAGCTAGGAGAGAAAGTCAATGTCTTGGTCAAAGCAGCCTTTCTCAAACTTGGGTTCCCAGATGTTGCTGGACTGCAATTCCCAACATCCACAGCCAGCGGTTAGGGATGATGGGAGTGGTAGTCCAACCATATTTTGTAATCCAAGTTTAAGAAAGGCTTGGTTAGGGAAGTTTTGAATGACTGATGTTTTAATGTATTTTAAATCTTTTGTTGGAAGCCGCCCAGAGAGGCTGGGGAAACCCAGCCAGAGGGGTGGGGTATAAATAAAAAGGTAAAGGCACCCCTGACCATTAGGTCCAGTCGTGACCGACTCTGGGGTTGCGGTGCTCATCTCGCTTTATTGGCCGAGGGAGCCGGCGTACAGCTTCCGGGTCATGTGGCCAGCATGACTAAGCCGCTTCTGGCGAACCAGAGCAGAGCACGGAAACGCCGTTTACCTTCCCACTGGAGCAGTACCTATTTATCTACTTGCACTTTGATGTGCTTTCAAACTGCTAGGTGGGCAGGAGCAGGGACCGAACAACGGGAGCTCACCCTGTCGCAGGGATTCGAACCGCCGACCTTCTGATCGGCAAGTCCTAGGCTCTGTGGTTTAACCCACAGCGCCACCCGCGTCCCTGGGGTATAAATAAATCATCATCATCATCTTACTAGGACTTGGGAGACGAGCATTCAAGTCCCCGCTGAGCCATGAAGTTCAGTGGGTGACCTTGGGCCAGTCAAGTTAGGCTGAGAGGCACAACCTCACAGGGTTGTTGGTAAGAATTAAATGAGGGGGAGAACCATGTACACCACCTTAGATAAGAGGATAAAAATGCAGTAAGTACCGCGATGCCAAGAAACTTAACTTGTGCTGTGGGACTTGAGACCCTTTCTTGAAGCTAGCAGCCGCCCCTTAGAAAAGAGGACATAGATTTGCTAAAAAAATTGCACATGCTAGTTTCTATTTGTGCAGATGCAAACTGAGCAGCAGTTACTGCAATTGATATAAAAAAGGCAGCCGATCTTGCCACGGGGGGGGGGGGGGGGCAGACGGTGAGCAGGCATGTCTGCTGATCTGTTGATGGGCCAATCCGAGGCCCCTTGCCCTCCCTTGGTGGGGTCCTTTATCTTTCCATTGGACTTAGACCAGACAAGCCAAGTCGCCATAAAGTAGGACGCATGATCCCCTCTTCCACTGCCAGCTCCTCCCAGGAAATGGTACGAGTGGGAACTGGGCTAGAGTTCACACTGCAGAGACGTCCTTGGTACTCTTGTTTGAAAGGGGACGTAGGTAAATGGGCCATATTTCGTTATCTGCTGCTGGTCTGGAGCCTAATTCTGTATTCCTTCTGTTTCATCAGCCACGGCTATTCCAGGACTTGCGTGTCGAGGTCCACAAGCCACCCCTCTAAATAAATCACAATTCACACAGAATTTTTGTTTAAGGTTTTTGGCATAATTTTGGCCACAACTTTACAGTGGTACCTTTGGTTACGTACTTAATTTGTTCTGGAGGTCTGTTCTTAACCTGAAACTGTTCTTAACCTGACACACCGCTTTAGTTAATGAGGCCTCCCGCTGCTGCCGCACTGCCAACGTGAAATTTCTGTTCTCCTCCTGAAACAAAGTTCTTAACCCGAGGTACTATTTCTGGGTTAGCGGGGTCTGTAACCTGAAGCGTATGTAACCTGAGGTACCACTGTATTAAAATACATAATGTGAGTGGTTGCTTAGGCATTGGTTGCGACTATCTGTCCCTGCCCCAGGACAGAACTGACTTCCAGATTCCAGCGAAAGCCAGTAAGGGAAAACAATATTGGGGAGAGAATGGGGCTGGGCACCATCACCTCTTCCCACATGCTCCCAGGGGCTCTTGCGTGGCCCTAGCTCCTTGCCGGGGATACGGACAAAAGCATGGCAAACCCCTGGATTCCTTTAACGGAATTCCCTTGCAGCAGCAGCATTGGAGGGGCAGGCACAGCCAATCCATACCCCTCCACCAACCAATTTTTGAAACCAATGCCTAACCGCAACCTTATAGGTTGCGACGATTTGCTACGCAGTAGGCAAAAACCGAATGGCCCCAGCCAATCAGCCAAATGGACAAAATTCCTACCAGGCCCCTGCCCCAAAAGCCAACGACCCCATGACAGGCATAACAAGGTCAAACGCAACAAATACCCTAAAATTAGGGAGGGTGGGCGGGTGATCCGATGCACGCAGCAAAAAGAGGAAGCTCAACGCTGCGCGCAGGGCATATATTCAACCCAGGCTGTCACTCAAAAATTGACAACATCAAACTCTCCCCAGCAACCTGAAGAGTCCAATCACATTTTGGGCCAACCAAACCAACTTGCCTAGCAACAGGGGGTGTCTGGTTAACCCCACCGCAACCCGTGCTCTCCATGAAGGAGAGCACACATTGTCAACCTTTCTTTAGGGAGGACGGCACTGCCAGCGGGATGGGAGGAGGCGGGCAGCGGCTGGAGGGTGGCTTCTCCAGCGGGAAAGGCTGGACGCAACGCATCCCGGCTCAGCTGGTCGCTTTGTGCCGCGGTGGCCACAGCAGACGGAGGCTCCGGGCGCAGTGCTGCTTTGGCACAGGCGGCATGGCAGAGGTGGGCGAGGGTGGCGAGCTGATGCCAGGAGGTGCTGCGTCCAGCCTCCGCCTCTTCCCTGCCGCCCTCCAGAACTTGGTGCCCTGGCGCCCTGTGCCACTAGCCTCTATGGGTAAGATGGCCCTGGTTCTGAGCTATGAGTGACCTTCTGAACTCTGAGCTATGAGCCACCATCCATCTCAGGTCTCTCTCCCACCCTGCAAGATATATTGCATCCTTGCATCAGCAAGCTCTTGATTGTTTTCTAAAGGAAGAGTTTGCAGATGAGTTTATGACGATATGTGCAATGTTTGCTTCTTCTGCAGACGACCTGTCCCAGTCACAAAAGACAGCATTGTTCATATATTGACCAGATTTCACAAAGTCCTCCTAGCCATTGATATTGACTATCTTTTGGTTATAAAAGACAAGAAAGGTCAAGGATTATGTGCGTGTTATCGGAAGGCTTACATTCTTACTCTCTGTTTGAGCTCGCCATTGGTAAAATTCCCAAGGGAAAGGAGGAGTTGAAATCCACACCCAGCATATCTCCTTGTCTTCCATACTGGTTCTGAAGTGTAAGGAAACCTTAGGATTTTCGCTACTGGTGAATAAGAACAAAGGATTGTCTACAAAGGGTAAAATCTAGCGACTGATTCAATAACCAGGCTAAGTAATGTTTGCCTGATGTGCTCTGTTGTTGCAAAGAAGGGCAGGTGGGTTTTGTGGGACTGAACTAGTGGTTTCATGATCTTCCATTATTTTTATTTATTTGTAGTACCGTTGACAAGTCATATGTAGCTTAAAGGTAAAGGGTAAAGGGACCCCTGACCATTAGGTCCAGTTGTGAC